TAAGTGTTCTTTTAATGTGTTACAATGTGTATGTGATAATCACATTGAAAGACATACGTAAATAAACGTTACGCAATGCAATTCGTGCATATCCCCAATAAATTTAAGCCTATATCGATATGTAACATATTTTTTCATTGTGAAAAAATGTCAAATGCGAAACAACCAGAAAAAATCGATTTCCCATTAGATGTTACTAAAATATCTGACGAACTGTATTTAGAAGATAAATCACAAGATTTTCTTAATGAAATTATTAAAGGATTATATAAATTGTATAATGAAGAAATATTAAAAGGCAGAAGTTTTAATTCAGCTGTTGACGCCTTAGAACAATTTTTAGTAAAGAAAAGGAAAAATCCAGATAATATTATTAATTACTGCTTAGATAATCAATTAGATCCTATGGTTCAATTCATTCTTGCAACTTGTTATCGTTCTGGCAAATGGGTTGAAAAGGATGAACATAAGGCATTCATTTATTATCAAAAATCTGCAGAGATGGGTGATGCTAGTGGAACATGTAGTGTTGGAAGTTGTTATTATTATGGAATTGGAGTTAAAAAGGATGAACATAAGGCATTCATTTATTATCAAAAATCTGCAGAGATGGGTAACCCCGCTGGGATATATAGCGTTGGATGCTGTTTTGATGAAGGAACTGGAGTTGAAAAGGATGAACATAAGGCATTCAATTATTTTCAAAAATCTGCAGAGATGGGGGATGCTGATGGAACATTTAATTTTGGACATTGTTTTGAAAATGGAATTGGAGTTGAAAAGGATGAACAAAAAGCTTTTGAATACTATTTAAAAAGTGCAGAATATGGAGTTTGTTGTGGAATGCATAAAGTTGGTTTATGTTATCAGAAAGGAATTGGTGTGGAAAGGAATAAAGATTTGGCATTTAAATGGTATTTAAAATCAGCAGTTACTGAACATGAATGTGATAATAATAAGTATTTCCGCTGGATAGAATACGATAATTTTAAAACAATTGAAGAAATAGGTAAAGGAGGATTTTCCGTAGTGTATAAAACATCATATGAAACGTCGTCTGGAATGGATGAAGCAGTTGCACTAAAGATCATTAAAGATTCGCATAAAAATAAAAATCTTTTTTTAAGCGAGGTATTTTGTTTTTTTTTTACATATGAATTTAAACTGTTTATGAAATATGAAATTAATTAAAATTAATTGTATATAATTTATTTGTAATTTATTTGTAATAATTTAGTTAAAGGCGTATCACAGATTTGGGAAATATTATGGCATATCAATGGATAAGAATACGGGAGATTTTATTTTAGTGATAAGTTACGCAAAATTTGGATCATTACGTGAAAATCTCAAAGATATATTTAAATCTGAGTGGAAAATTAAACTAAAAATATTATGCGATATTATTCAAGATTTAATAAATATTCATTCTAAAAAATTTATACATCGAGATTTACATTCTGGTAATATTTTATTAAAAAATCGATATAAAGCTTATATTACTGATTTAGGTCTATCAATATCATTTGACGAAAAACAAGATGGACATATTTATGGAGTTTTACCATATATAGCTCCTGAGGTCTTGAAAGGTGATCAGTTCACTCAAGCTGCTGATATTTATAGTTTTGGGATTATTATGATAGAAATATCAACTGGTCGAAAGCCTTTCGATAGTTACAATTTTGATAAGGAATTAGCAGCAATGATTTGTCATGGATTGCGACCTGAATTTGTTAAAGGAACTCCAAAATGTTATGTTGAATTAGCCAAACAATGTATTGAATCTGATATAACAAAAAGACCTGCAGCTGTTGAAATTCTTAATAAACTTGAAAAATGGAAAGAAATTATCAATTGTAATAATGATGATTATAGTGATGATGATAACAATTATGATAGCGATGGTGATTACGTTGGCAATGATGATTATAGTGATTATGGTAGTGATCACGATAATTACACGTATAGTGAAGAAGATAATTTTAATGAAGAAGAGATCGAACGGCAATTTTTAGAAGCTGACAAATTAATTAAAGAATTACCAATTATCATGCAACAGCATGAAAAAAAGCATGAAAATGTATATACATCTAAACTTATTGATACGAGAGGAATAGTTTCTAAGTTAGAAAATTTTAAGAGTAATCAAAAACCAAGTAAAGAGGTCCGTATTGATAATATTGATTCTAATTTATTTTAAGATTTGGTGTAAGTATAAAATCCATTATTATAAGCGTATTTATTATTTGAGATAGTGTAGAACTCTATTAATATCATCATAGTAGTTAATTGGATTTTTTACCTTTTTCTATACTTGATTTATTACGTAAGTAAAAAAAAACCGTTTTTAAACTATAAAATTTTGCGTTTTATATAGGCGGACGCCATAAACTTTATATGAAAGTATTATTTTTGAATTTTGTATTTTTTCTTTATTATCGTAGTAAATAAAAGTATTGTTGCTCACTTTCCCAAGATGTTATTTCTCCAGCTCCATGATTTCAATAACCTTTTTTCACGACAAGACACATTTCCAACAACTTAGTTTGTTCATCGATAGTTTATTTCACTGACAAAGTAAGTGTGGTCATTGTTGTAATGTTAAAATTAGAGTTAAGGTTGGCGCAATTTTTAAAAAAACTTAATCAATGAAATAATTGTCAGTAAAATAAACTTGTCAGTGAATTGATTTTGGTGAAATGATATTGTTCTATTCTGTCCTGTTAGTAAAATAAATTGTCGGTATTACGACTTCGGTGAAATGACTTTTCAAAAAATGACTTCGGGAAATCAACCCGGAATCAATAAAGCTTTATTATAAAAACTCAGCTAATAAAAGACCTGTTTTTATAATTGTTTATTTATATGGAACACGTTAAAATAATATTTTATATACAGGACAGTTGGGAATAAGCGGAATTTGCATAAAATATAATTTACGAAATAGGCCGCTTATGTGGTCGTTCGTCAATTATACTTAACTGCTTATACCCAACAGCACAGTGTATAACTGATTTATCCCCTGCCATTCGAATTATAACTTTTCATGTGCTTTGTCAAATAAATACTTTCCCTTTATTATTGTTTATTTTAAAGGGTGAAGTATCGTGACACTATAATTTTCATTTAATTAGAATAAGTTTCTAACATTAAATAATTCCCCAAATTAAATCATGGTACCTGATGATGTATATCAGTGTCATGTCGATGCAGTCGTTCCATATAGAATGCTATTACCTATCTCTAACTGAATATATTATCGTGGCGTACTCTATAGGTACTTTACAGTATTTGCAATTTGAAGTACAGTATCCTAAATTCAGAGTACAGTTACGTACTTTAAAGTACTATCTAATTAAGATAAACCAATACCTAATAGCGTTTATTTTTTTTATTTATTTCTATATTGATACCGCATCTGACATGCCTTATTTGATATATAGGTACGGAAAGGACTTTGCTCTGTAAAATTAATCCCGAAATGATTAAATGTAATCAAGCTATAGATACTTAACAAACCTATTTTTGCCATTGATGATTCCATAAGTTTCGTCATTGACGAATTGACGAAATTATAAGGTTTCGTTAGTTCAAATACGTGTAAAATTTATTGTTCTAGTCGCTTCATGTGTTTGTTATCAATCAATGCATCTCTTTATGGATAAATGATCTAGCATTTCTCAAAAAAAGTCGAGCTTTAGAAAGATTCACATAGAATCAGATTCTTAAAAGCCAAATCCTATAAGGCAAAAGTTATTGAATCATTTGTTATTTAACGAAACTTCGAAGCTAAAAGTTTCCACATTTCTGAAATGTAAATCAGAAGCTATTTAAAATATCAGACATAAAGATAGTATTCACCCTGAAAACCTTAAAAGTATACGAATTAATTACTAAGTCGCATGACACCTAATTGACGTGTTTATCAAGATGTGTCCGTCATTTTTACTCGCCTAATATTACACTTGATGCTTAGCAATGTGATTTAAAGTATGCTTTGATACTCTACCATATGTTTATATTGATTAGTAGTACTTTAAAGATTAAAAAATCCCTCTGATTCTAATAGATACAGATACTCTATAAATATATATTTATGTGAATGGGTTGGTCAGGAAATAATATAGGTGACACCTCTGGCAAAAGTTTCCAGAAATATAGTTTGGAATTAAATTTACATATTCTGTGCCATTTAGAATGCATTTTTGGAAACTTTTCCTGAGATGTCGCCTATCCTAAGATTTTAAAGTTAGTCGTGAGAACTACTTTTTAAATAATAGTACCGATCATATTAGAGTATCGGATAAATAAATTTACTCACATTATACACAAGTCCTCCTTGAGTAAAGCTATCATATTATTCTCTCATTTATTTATCCTTTAAATCTTTACATACTAGTTGAGGTAGATTGAGGTTAGTAACTACATTTAAGATCATTCAAGCTGATTAGAATTATGCCGATGCCTCAGTTATAAAAATTACACTGCATAGTCTCCCAAAAATTCTGCGCAGTTTACGCAGGCTGTGCAGTGGCCCACCTTTATGTGTGACATAATATTGGGTCCAATTACAGAAACCATTTACGAAAAGCTACGGAATTTTTTGTTATCTTTATTAAAAGTTGATGCTTTATGAGTGAACAAACATTACATATTCGTGTAATACGTATTTGTGCCTAGACTCATATGCACCTATTGGTCTAAAATCTAGTCTTATTAACTTCCTAATTGTCCGAAGGACACTACGAGTAGAAACTAGAGCAAAATGTTTGACTTTTCTCTGTTGATTACTTAATTAGGCAATCGGATTTAAACGGTATCCATTTACCGATTACGACATGCATTTTAAATATAAATTCTTTTGTCAAAAGTATATAGTACATAATTGAATTTCTTAAATTTAGGAATTACTTGATTTCATTGTTAAATGTAAAAATTTAAAAACACCATGAATTCACCTGAGTTTGAATCTTTTAAAAAAATTATTTCAAATTAGGATGACTTCAAAAAAATATACATCAAAAAAGTCGTCAGGCAAAAAAAGAACACCAAGTGGGTTTATACTTTATAAAAACACAAACAGACTAAATCCTCATGATGCCAGTAAACGATACAAACTGGAAACTGAAGACGTCCGTATAGCTTTTGAAAGACAGGCAGAAATGATACGGTTACGATCTGAATCAAATTATTTTAGTCTGGATGAAAAATTTTATAAAAATGTATATGCACAAATGTCTTCAATTACTCAAATGAAGAACGTGTCCTATACTAAGCACAATCTTAAAGATCCACATAAAATGATGTTATTGACTGAAATTCCGCAGTTAGAATCTACATTAAACTTTGTTAACATGGATGCAAATTTTTATAAAAACTCAGACGCGGCGATGCAATTAATTGCACAAGAGAGGACTGTGCCCCTTTCTAATAACAGTTTTAAAGATTCAACTAGCACAGTGTCAATAGCTGAAAACAAAAATGCATTTTGTGTTGGTTCTAACTCAATTGGGATTGCTTCTAATGTCTATTATATGGAAATGCTTGACAAATGACAAAACGTTCGCCATTAACATATTACAGAACTATTTAATTAGACAACTTCTTGTCAAAACCTATGACGAGTGATAAATATCCGATAATTTATAATATAGAATATTAAGTTAATTAGAATAATATGACAATTTTATCTGTCATACACTTTATTTTAACGAAATGTAAACTTTTCAAAATCCATTAATTGAAATAAAATTAAACAATGCCTTTTTACACATCTGATGTCTATTAAATTTTACTGCATATTATAAAGCACATGTTTTATTTACTATGTGTAGTTTCCTTTTGTTGAAAGCATTTTAAACTATATAGTACTGTATAACTATTTACCAATCATACAAATTTTAGCCTCAACAGTTAATATTACATTATTGCATCAGTATTGATAATACAGTCAAATATGTAAATAAGTTGTAAAAATTTTTTTAAGTATATCAATCCATTGAACTTTAATAATTCATTATTTATAAGAAATATTTTATAATGGTCAAAGGTAATACAATTTTTATTAGTGATTCATTGAAATCAATTGAAATCAAGCCCAGTCAAATAATTTTCGTATTTGCGCGAAATAACACTTCAGGGTGTTATTTCGAAGCTCACTATTTCCAATGAGCTAAGAATTAATTTTGATAAATATATATTAATTTATTTTTTTAAAAAAAAATTTATCTAAACTAATTCTTAACTCTCTGGAAATTGAGTTTTCATATTTTTAGTGTGAACTGTAAAATTTGATTCTGGTTCGATTAAATAGCTGCTGCACGATTATGACACGTTATGCGGGATGAACAAATTGACTTGGCGTTAGGAAATCTTCAATCTGAACGAAGTGAAGAAGTCACGAAGTGTATAGCAGGAACGTAGTAAAACAAATTATAGGATTAGATTCGGGTTTGGAGTTTGACTAGGGAATTAATAATAAAACATTATACAGTGGAACCTCTATAAGTGCACGCTCTTGGGGCCGAACTTTAATGACGTGCACTTAGAGAACAATAAGAAAAGGTGCATTTATAAAGGTTATGCATATATTTGGGCCTAAATTTAAGGGTGCATTTTGATAAGGTATGCACTTTTGGAGAACGCACTTATGAAGGTTTCGTTGTAATTTTTTTTAAAAAAATATGTTTATAAAAAAATTTTTTTTCAGTATTAAGGTAACCTTTCTGGTCTTTTGACTTTATTAACAGTTTTAGGAGATGGTGTTCACTTGAAACTGACACATAATGAGAGTATAATTGGTTGCATGTGTAACTTTTTTATATTATCTATTTAAGGAGTTTGCTCAAAGGTTCTTTACTAATTGTTATATTTAATACCCATGCTTGGATATTTTAATTCAAACCTTCTGATTCTGCATTCTTAATATTAACTTTACTAAATCATTTAAATATTCTTTTATACTTAGATCTCATTTCAACTTTAGGACTAATTTATCTTTAAGAAAACCTTTTGGAATCTTTTATATCTTATCTTATAGCTAATCTAATAATACTATAATTGAAATTAATACTTGCAAACAGGCTTAATCATTAAACTGTTATACTTTTGTAAAATTTATCCAAGTTTTAGTATCAATCTTTTTGACATATAAATTATTAATCTTCTAAACTATTAATTCAAATAGTTTGGTAGGCTTGTAATCAAGTTTTTAGTATACAATTAAGAATCTTTTTTCTTTAGCAAATTCTGATAATCTAATTAGTTATATGTTTTTTATATATATTTATTTTATTTTATTTTTTTTATTTATATAATATCAAGTAGGAAAAATAAAAATACATTTATATATCAATTAGATATAGATGTATAACTAAAATATTATTTCTAAATTACACTATTGTTGTTATATGCTATGTTATCTGGTATGATATTATCCTTTAGTTTTCTGTTTTAGTTGAGTTAATTAACATGAACTTAACTACAGAGATGGTAAAAGAAATCCTTAAGATTATTTAATTAGTAAAAACAGGTATATATAGTGAAGTTTTGAATAAGAGTTTTAGAAATAAAGAGATCTATATTAGTATTGAAAATATAAATAATATTGTTAGAGTTTATAAGTTGAAGGGTAAATAATCTGATATTATTTTTTTTTAGTAGATGATGTAATTCCTTGTAATAATTCCTATTTATATTGTTTAGTGTTACAGATTTGTCAGATAGTAGAGTTAAACCAAGTAAATAATGAATTAAATAAAAAAATAAGAAAATTGTTAGTTGGTTTTTTTAGAATAAGTTGAAGTTGGTTATATTGATTAAGGGTTATTGTACTCTAAATGAGTAATAATATTGTATTATATATATTTAGATTAAGAAGAGTGTTTTGTATAGTAAGAATTTGTATTATTACATTTGGTGAGGTTTCTGTAATGTTTAAGGAGTTTAAAACATTTGAGATTTCATTAGTAAGAGTATTTTGTAGATTGTAGGAATAAAGTGAGCATTGGAATAAGTATTCAGTGCTTTTATATTGATTGTAATATGAGCAATTTGGGGTTAGATAGAGAAGAAGATAGTGGGTATATAGATTTGACATTATAGGTAAATTATTAAGAAGTATTTTGTTTCTAATAGAATATATTTTGAGATTGAAGTTTTGAGAATTAATAATTTCAGTTAATAATAGAATATTTATAGTTAGAAGGTTTTGTAGTAGTTTGAGTTGAAGAAGTTTATTAAATGTTTGTATTGAGATTAGGTTTTTACAAAATTTATATAGTTTGTATGTGATTAGAATTTCTTTTCAAGAAAAATAAATAGGTAGGTAAAAGTGATCAAGATTAAATATTAATTTAGTTTTGTTAGCACCTTGTTTGGCAAGAGAATCAGTTATATTGTATAAAGTATTTTTTGAGTATGATTTAATTTTGTGCATATTGTAATTGATGTTTTTGAGTTTTATTAAATAATTGAGTATATGTATTATATTCCAATTATTTTGTTTAATTTGAGATTTGTAGTAGTAGAGTAGTGCATTAAAGAGTGTTTGGATAGTAAATAAACTGTCTAAATGGATATGAATTTAATAATTGACAGGTAGGATAAGAAATAGAGGAATAAGTATTACTAATTCAGCTTATATTGAGTTTGGTGCATGAGTTATAGAGCATTAAATTTGATTTGTGTATTCTTTTTAAGAATCCAAATGATGTCTATCAAGATGTTAGTTGTTTGTGAATTAAATATAAAGGCATCTGTATAGAAGTTTAGATTAGTTGGTTCTAGCAATAGAATTTTTTTATAAAGATTGATGGTTGGTTTTAATAGATAAGATTGGGTATTGTGTTTTGTATTAAAAGAATTTCTGAGAAAGATATTAAGAGAGAGAATAAAGATTGGAGGATTGGTTTGTAGAGTTTTAAGTAAATATTTTGAAGTGCTTGAATTTCTTGATTGTTAATATTAAGCTCAAAATGTTATTATTTTTTTTGTGTTTTGCATTTTTTTTTTTTTTTTTTTTTTTTGTTAAAGGTCATACTTGTGGTAATACTTTATTGACTTTATATCATGTTAGCTATTACAACTATTTTTATAGAGATGAGAATACAGTTAGTCATACATGCAACTTTTGGTTGTCTATTTAAGTAGTCTGCCTTAAGGTTCTATACTAGATGCCATACCTATAACCTACTAGGAGATTATCTATTTAAACCCTCTAATCATTTATCCTGTCATATTAAAATCTCCAACTTACTCTCTGTATATATCTAACTGGTATACCATCTGAGCAGTATAGTTACCTATCCTTTTTGTACTAGTTTCTAGGCTATTATACATTTCAGAATACATCATCTGCCAGTAAAGCACAGGAGGCCTCCTATTGTTAACTATCTACTCACTTTTAGAACACTAACATGGGCTATCCTTACAGAGTTCATCCAGATCCTAGTACTAACTTCATAGCATATTTCTAGTACTTTTAGTATACTTCTGCTTTGAATCTAGACTCCCAATTCAGATAGCCTGGAAGGACTATGACATGTCTTTGATATATTGAGGCCAGCCAATATACTTTTTCTTTGGTCTAAAATCTGGCAGCCTGGTTGGTAATAGTTCTCACCTAAAGTTTTGCCTATCTGAATTATTTATATTGGTATCCATTTTCTAGGTCTAGCCTTTATAGTAGTATCATTAAAAATCCATGTTAACTTTCTGATCAGAATTTCCAAGTGGGTTCTAGCTTTTCAGTTCTACAGATTTATATAGCCTAAGGACTTATTTTAGTTTATATCACCTGATACTGGTTTGCATTCCTCTGTGTAACATATTATACAGATGCCCTAAACCTGCCAGTCATGCTAGTGTGACTATAGTTACAGGTATCCTATCTCAACTAATTGACAAAATGCTATTGCCATAATACTGTTTATATATTATATAGGTAATTATTCAAATTTCACCATCAGTGGGTTTTGAACTCACAACCTACCATTTGGAAGTATGACAACTTATCCACTTTACTAAGTTGCCACACCCTCTGTATTTTGCATTTTAAGTTAATAGTATTTTTGTAATTAATTTAAATCATTATCAGTATAAAAGAAATGCAAATTGTTTTTTTTTTTTTTTGATATTCAACTAGCCTCTTTTGGGCCTAGGGTTTTATTCAGTAAATTGGACATAGGGACTTGCGACCGAAGTCTCAAAGAAGTCACCTTACATTAGAGAGTACAACTAGCCACACGTACACTTTTGGTGTCTAATTTAAGTAGTCCGCCAATGGTTCTACACTA